AGTCCGATTTCGCCCATTTTCAATACCAACCTACCTTGGATTAAGGGAAACCTACGTACCAAATTTCGTTGAGATATCTCAATTTTTGCTCGAGTTATCGTGTACACGGGCAGACGGACAGACGGACGGACAGACAGACATGGCTTAATCGATTTCTTTTTTCATCCTGATCATTTATGTATACATTTGTCTATATCTATCTCGATTCGTTTTGGCTGTTACAAACAACCGTTATGTGAACAAAATTAATATACCCTTGTGCACAAGTGCGCTCGGGTATAAAAACACCTTAATTGAAGGCATATTTGGAAAATACGTCGCAACGATCTAAATCTTTCTATAACTGTTAGGGCCGTTTGCACCATGTCTAGTTAACGCTAACTGGAGGTACATCCTTCAGTTAAGCACGTTAACTGCTTTATCGATCACATGTTATATGACGGGTGTCGATAACGTCGATAAAGATGTTTAACTGGGAGTTAGAATTAACTAGACATGGTGCAAACGGCCCTTAGTCCTTATAAAACTACATATTCCTGTAAAATGCTTCAAAAAATTTGTCTCTAGAAGTTTGTAAAAACCCTGATTTACTACTTTTAATGATGCTCCTCCTTTTAGTCGGAATATTTCGAGAGTGGTATCAACGAAACTTTTTTTCGACAAGTGTTCTGATAGTTGCTCTTACTTAATTGGAGCCTTCTAAATTCAATGGCGTCCTCAGTTTTACCTTACCCTATTGGCTCCACTTTTCGAGATAGCGGTACTTGAAACTTTGCTTAAATTTTAACTATTTTATAAAAAAGTCCCTGAGTTTTGAAGATATTTTACAAAAATTTTGCACATAACCGTTTTTTAATATTACCTTAACTATTGAATAAAATCATCGAAATCGGTTCACTAAAACATCGAGCTCCCATACAACTGATTGATCAGAGATGTTGTTTTGCATTATAACTCCTCCAATTAAACAGGTTAAAATTTAGTATAGGTTCAATTTAACATATAGCACACATACAATTTATTATTCAGATATGAAGTTAGAGTTATAGCGCAAAAACACATATCTGAGTAATCAGTTGTATTGGAGCTATATGTTAATGTAAACCTAATTCGATAATTTTAAAGAATAATTAAGGTAATATTAAAAAACTGTTATGTGCAAAATTTTAGTAAAATAACTTCAAAACTGACGGAGTTATTTATAAAATAGTTAAACTTTAATCAAATTTTAAAGTACCGTTATCTCGAAAACCGGAGCCAATCTGGTAAAACGGGGCATGCCATTGAATTAAGAACGTCCCAATTAAATGAGTTCGACTTTCAAAATCCTTGCTCAAAATTTACAACTTGAACAGCGTAATTTCAACCCAGCTTATTCTTTTGTTTTCTATTACATGCTTATTCCTCGTCTAACTTTTGAAGCACTTGATGAAAATGAATTACACTTATATTAATCGATTTACTAAGAGATTACGAATAAATGATATATAAAACATAGGTGTGCTCACAAATTTGAAAATTAAAATTTTTATTTTGAAAGTGTACCTATTTTTTATATTTGCCCATATATTTCTAAAATTTGAGCAAATGTCTCTCAAATTTTTATTAACTAACTAACTAAAATACTTACTCCAGTTTTTTCATTATCTTCTCATATGGAGACTCAGTTTCTACTAGAACATTTTGAATATCAGCCATATCAATTAATATTTTTGGTTCTTCCACAATAATATTTTCAGATTTGCCTTCTTGACGATTTAAGATTCGCCTTTTTCCCCCGGGCCAGCAGATAACTCCGTTACAGATCTTGAATGATACAATAAAAATAATGCTGTATCAGTTAATGAACACAAGTTTAATAAATCAAACGAACATCTTTTTATACATACAATCTCTTCTGACAATTTATGTCTGTTGATAGTTTTAAAATCGGTTTTCCACTTTTTGTACAATAGAAATCTCCGTTGCAGACCTTGAATTATTAAATAAATATTTTTAACACATTATTTTAAATCATACAAAAATAATGCATGATTTAAACCTTAAAAAGCAACAAATATCTTTTATATACTTACAAACTCCTTTGATCCTTAATGTTTTGTTCTCCAACTTTCTTCATAGTGGCCAATAATTGCTCTATTTCTTTACTTTTTCCTTTTTTCTTTATTTCAGTATTTTCAGAAAAGAGAACTTACATATGTACATATTAAACTAATTTTGAGGAATCTCATAGCGTGTAAGTAAAGTACAACTGAACCACTGGTTATCAACTGGGTTTTCTTCTTCTCCTCCAATAGGGCATCCTATAGCATTTGTCTTCGAAATTGTTGATAGAAATAGCTTCTACTGTAGTTGACAACATTTTACAGTGATGTACACCAACCGTATTAGACCGTATTCCAAAATCATACAATGCTTCTTTCCTTTGAAATGCTTGGAAAATCAGTAATATTTGTTCCTCTACTTTTATATGTTTTTTTATGTTTTTTATTATCCCAATTCTTCGATCCCTAAGAAATCAGCAGCTATCACGTAAATTTGTTGACAATATTAGTTTTCCGATCTCCAACTTCCGATATTGTCGACATTGAGCATCAAATATATTTTCTGGAAGAGGACCGTCTGCATGAGGCAAGGATAGACGTACCTGAATGTTATCATTGAAAGGCGTATAAATTAGGTCATTTAATTCTGTTGTTCTTTTGTAAATTTTTTGAAGAGGAAGACCTGGCCTGCGAATTAATTTACGTAGTTCAGGCATATTATTTTCATAACAAAATGCACTGAATGACTCCATGTCA